AATTTACACCCTCTTTACACTGTAAGTTATATCACTGGATGAAAAGGATTGGATCTCTTTTTTTCTACTTTATTTCTTTGTAGGGTTCATTTCACTTGATAAAGTAGTTCATGGAAGATTTTCAAAATACCTAGATGACCAAAAGGAAGTTATATTGTCTGATTACTGAAATATTGATGCTACTGAATATCTAACTTTCTTTTTTTATTATAACTGACACTTTAATCAAGAAAAAATACCCAGTAAGAAACTATAAACATAATGAGATTTAATCTTAACCATTAATCCCAGAGCAAGTAGTTAGGTAGTATTAAAACATCTCATCATAAGGCATTTGATTCTGTTACCATGAGCAGCAGCACTACAGGGAAATCAGCAAAAATAACTTCTAGAACTGATGAAAAAAATTCAAAGATAAAAGTATGCTCACTAATGAGATGAATGAATTAATCCAAACTGTATAATCAATGAGGTGACACTTGCCTCTTTCCTCTCTGTTATGTGATATGGCAAACTCAGCACTTGGGGGAATTTGGATTGAAGTGTAGAAGGAAAACAGATTCAGAATGTAAGAAGTGCACTCGTGCCACATCCACTGTGGCATGGTTTCACAGTGAAGGCACTTTCAAAATTATGGAAAAGAATATTTCTCAATTTCCAAACCCTTGCTTTCTCTTTTAGCAACAGCAGCTCTCCTGGATGGAAAATAGTGACAAATCAACAAGTGAAGCATTTTAACTATAAAGATCTGCCTGACAGAGGGTCCCTCAACATCGTGCTGTTCAGTCCAAGCCACATTCAGTGATCTGGAGGTCTTTTCCCATCATGACTCTGATTCCATGGTTGAAACTTCACACAAAAGGTTCAGACTCCACAACAGAGCTTGTTAAAAACAGATAAGCTCTGTTTTTAACCTCCTTTTGTTGCCTAGTTGTGCAATAGGTTCAGCTGAATTTTGTGTCACACTTTGGATTTAATGGTCTGATTTTTATCATATCCTGGATACAATTTTTGTTACATTTACAGTCTCTTGTTTTCATCAGAATGGTGTAATGTTATGTTAATATGGAGACACATCCTGTAATCAAAGCCTACAAGTCCTGTAATATCTCTAATCAAATGAAAAGTGCAGGAGGAAGGCTGGCAGTGGAAACTGAACAATATTGCTTTGTTTTTTCTCAGGGAAACCACAGCAAAATGAGATCAAGCAGCAGAATCCTTGTTGGAGTCAGAGGCACAGAGATTGTGCCCTTATCTCTGATACCTGGCTCTGACATCCAAGAAAGCACTGAATTTCATATAACACCATGAAAACAACTATTGAAGTTAAATAGAAAAGCTAAAAGTGTTAGTGTGAAAATTAGAGAGTTTTCTTAAGTCACTGGGTGAAAAAGTTAAACTAGTTTAGAGAACAAAAGACAAGGTGGGGGATTTAGGGTGTTTTCTCCTGTCCTTCTTCTTTCTTCTTCATCTTCTTCTTCTAGAGGTTTTTGGGTAGTAGTAAGTGATTGGATAGAGAATGCTGCAGTGCAGTACACAGGTGTTGGGTCATTGGGTCACTAAGAAAAATAATTTATGTGTTTATTGTTAATTGGGTGGAGATAAGTATAAAGATAAAAGAGCTGCGTATTTCGAGGCCATTTTGTGCCAGTTCGAGCCAGGTGACGGTGGGTTGAACTTGAGCAGAAAGTCTGGGGAAGAGCTGCCAAGTCTTTTGATAATACATTAATAAACACGAGAAACAAGAGCCTAATGAGCCTTTGGAGTATTCTTCCTGACACAGAACCAAGATAAGCAAAACTCCCCATGGAGGAGTGTCCCAAAAGAACTCTGCCCTGGAAGGACCGAGCAACAAGTGGTGTCCCACGTGAGGATCGAACTACGACCTTCAGGTTATGAGACTGAAGAGTTAGAGGCTCTTCACAACAATGCATGAAATGATGAGCCTCAAATATAAAATACAGCAGTGCTGGGTGAAACAACCAAACCTGTTCTCACAACATGAGAACTGGAGTTCTGGAAAATTCTCTCATCTCTTCACCATGTTTTTCACTGTTTAGGTATCCTCACATATGACTCAAAAAAAAACCCAAAACTCAAAGTTGCATTTAAATTCACATCTTGACTTCAACCATCAACTTAGCTGGTAAACACAAATTATTTTAAGGATATGCACAGCTTTGTAGACAAAATTATATATATAAGTTTTTGTGATGTGTTCACTGCAATTGTCTGGAGAAGAAAAACAAATTGTAGATAAGAGCAGCCACAGCACATGTTAATTTCCTTTCATTTAGCTGTCCAAAGTTTGGCTTTCTATGGCAAAGAATTCAGATTAAAGACATAAACACAGGCTTTTATACAGTTCTATTTACTGATGAAAGAAAACATGCTAAGGGGTAGTAAAAGCAAATACTAAATGCCTATTGTGAAACTCCGATTTCGCAGTTGCTTTGTGAAAATCCCTCATAAATTGGCACCAAGAGTCCCTGTTAAGATTTGTCTCATAAACCATAGAGGAAACCTGCTGATAACACAGAAATTCTTAAAGAGGCTCAGTAAGAATTCTAAAAATTACATTTTAGCATGTGATGACCTACATGTCAGAAACTCCTTTTTACTATGCCCAGGCATAAAAAACAAACCAAAGAACAAAAAGAACCCCAACAGAACATGCCCTCCTCAAAACAAAAAATAACACAACTAAAAATAAAGTCCACAAAAGGTTTTCCAAAGTGATTTTTTTATTCATCTCCCCTCAGAAATATAAACTTCTATTAATCTTTAGTGACCTGTTGCCTCTTACATGAAGGTTTCAGTTAATTGCCAGCATTAGTTAAAGAGAAGAAACTTTCCAGAAGATGAATGCATGTGTTACTTCAGCATATTTTGAAAATCTAGGGTTCTGTGAGAAAAAAAAACTCTCAAAAGTACCATTCCTTTGAGACTGTGCTGGCTTATTCATCAAGGAGACAGAAAGGCAATATCATAAAATACCATGCAGGAGTGAAGATTGGGGTTTGGCACTGAGATTTATTGTTACAGTAAGAGAATTGGAGGGTTGTTCTTATCTGTACCCAGCATATCAGCTGTCAGTGGATGAATAAGGAAGCTCCAGTTCAGGAGCTGGATGAGAAGTGAGGAGAGACAGCTTTGCTTTTGGTACAGCAGGGAATACACAATTTGGGATACTCAGAGGTCAGGAAAACCGTGTGTGACTCCCATCTGGTCATGACAGAGTGCCCTTGGAGTGGCCACCTCACCCTTACCACCAGGAGTAGTCACAACCACACACACACAGATATATATGTAAAATGTATAAATTAAAATCAAAATATATATTTATACATATGGATTTACAAATAGACTCTGGCTATTAGAGAGCAAATTCCTTGCTTTGCTGTGGTTTCAGACGAGATGTGAAAAGCCTACAAGGGAAAGCATTACAGTTTTAAAGACTGGAAAGAGTGGCTGAGCTATGACAGATTTATCACATAAAGCAGCAGCAGTGTTTGTACCCTGTGATCAAAAATCAAATGGCAGAGTACATTTCTATTTTCTTTGATATTAAGTGTTTTCAGGTAGTGTATTTCTCTCTTGGGCTTAGCCTTGGAAGCACAATGGAGTGAAAAGAAGTGGTAGGAAAAAAAAAAGCTTAAGGGTAATGCTTTATTGTTTTAAGGAGAACTCTTACCTCCTTAGCTTTATTTCATTGTTTATCAGCACAGTTTGAGGCTGCACACTGGCTGTCCCAAACACCAAAGGATATGGTGAAGCATTTAGTCAGACAGCTTCTGAAGGAATAAATAAACAAGAGCTAATCCCCCATGGTGGTAATTCCTGGGTTCACATTCCCAGCATCAGGAGAAATTTCATAGATTCTAGTTTTTTAAACAACTGAATTCATTAAACTCAACAGTCCTCCCCAAACTTAGAGGGGATCCCAGAATCAAATAGGGATTGTTGGGGAAAGTCCACCCAGATCAAAGAGTCAACCTCTGCCTTATGCCCACCTTGTCCCCAGCCCAGAGCACTGAGTGCCACGTCCAGCCCTTCCTTGGACACCTCCAGGGATGGGGACTCCAAACCTCCCTGGGAATCCTCTTCCAAGGCCTGACCACCTTTTCCAGGAAGAAATTCCTCCTGGTGTCCAACCTGAGCCTCCCCTGGCACAGCCTGAGGCCGTTCCCTCTCCTCCTGTCCCTGTTCCCTGGGAGCAGAGCCTGACCCCCACATGTTTCAGGTCCATATGGGAAGCTGAAAGGACCTTCATGGCAAGAGCCCTCGTGCCAAAGTGCCCACACTGTCCATTCCAGATCTTCTTTGTGGTAAATTTCTTGAAGTTTAGTTTTTATCACGTCAATTTAAGGCAACAAGAAAGTAGGTGATGCTCACATTAATATTTACAGTAGAACTGAAGGGTCTGCAAAGGTTGGGTGTTCTTTTGGGAGCATGGTTACATGTGTTCAAAATCATGGAAACTCACAATGGTTTGGGCTGGAAGGGACCTTAAAGCCCATCCAGTGCCACCCCCTGCCATGGACAGGGAACCTTCCTCTGTCCCAGGTTTCTCCAAGCCCCATCCAGCCTGACCTTGGACACTTCCAGGGATCCAGGGGAAGCCACAGCTTCTCTGGGCACCCTGTGCCAGGGCCTCCCCACCCTCACAAGGAATAATTCTTTCCAATATCCCATCTAACCCTGCCCTCTGGAGGTCATGATATCCACAATTTCTTGTCCCATTCAGTTTTGACTTTTTATAGGACCACAAAGGCCATTTTTGAATAGGATTTTTCCACATTTTTTTTTCAAGAAAGAGGGATTTGGGTGGGAGGCTATCCTGACCCACATCTCTTCTGAGCATTTGCCCTGTATCTCCTTGAAGAACTGTAGTGTGGTATGAATTTTGACATTTATTCAAGATTCTTAAGGAACAGAGGACTGGGAAGCTTTGCATTTGTAGCTATGCTGCATGCTAGAATATAACACCACATTCCAAGTCCAATTTTTAATATTCTTTATATCTTGTGGTAATTACAGCACATGTGCAGTGAGGCAATTACAAGTCCCTTTCTCTTTTTATGTCTCTTTTAAAAACAGAATTAATAATCAGATATACTCAGCAATTTTATAGCAGGATTAGCTCCATTACTTCCCATTAAAAACACCAGGCTGCAAGAGTAGCAGAGGTGACCTGTCCCCTGCTGCACTCAGACCCAGTGGCTCTGCTGATTTGAGCCATATGGAAATGCTCTGCCAAAGCAAATACCACATTTTTAAGGTCTCTGCTACCAATTTGATGCAAAGCTTCATGAGGACAGGAAAAGCTGTCAGCTGAGGCAGGCCTTCTGCAGCCCATAGGTGTGAGGGATCCCTAATTCTGTGTCAGTCCGGTGTCAGAGCTCGGGTTTCCGTAGCTTCGTCTCCACAGAGGAAATGCAGCTCCCACAGTTCTGGTATCCTCATGAATTCGTGGTGCTGGTGCTGTTATGAGACTCACCACGGAGCAAAATCTGTGGAATTCCATATCTGGGTTAAATTAGATGTGTATGTCTCAAATGTGATTACACTGGACAGAGGGGTACAGACAGAAAGAAGCAGCAAAGGGGAATCCTGAGAAAATAGATTGTCACTATTCCTGTTTCAGGGACAATACCACCTTTGTGTATCCCACACTACCACATAACCACCACCACTGCCCCTCAGTATGACCTATTCCAGGAAAGTGATGTATAATGTCAAATAAAGAACCAATTTCCAGCAGTTTTGTAGGATTTTTTACATCCAGAAAACCTTTCAAGCATAGCTCAACCAGAATTGTGCTGGCATCCTGCAGTGCAGGGCTGGGCTATCCTGCAAGATATTGCTGCCAAACTGGGTGTGCTGTGAAATCAAGGATTAAATTTGATTGATAGGATGTAATCTGGACCTGCAGCAGCTTAACTGCTTTTGAATTTTAGCAACTTCATGCCAAAACATTTTATTTTTTTTTGAGAGGGATTAAAAGAAAGAATATGAGAGAGCTTTGAAAGCGTTCATTTTTAATTCATCTCCAGCAGGAGGGACAACCTAAGAAATACGATTTGTGGCCTAAAATTGATATAAAAGAAATAATTGCAGAATCACAGAGAATGTTTGAGGTTGGAAGGGACCTTCAGAGTTCAGGTGGTCCTACCCCCCACTCAAGTAGGGTCATTTAGAGACTCAGGAGTTGCTCAGGAAACTTTTATGAATGCATAACAATTCCTTTTAAATGTGAGAAAAGGATTTTCTACCTTTTACATTTAAGTGCTTCTTGGCAAATCAAGTAAAATTTTGCTCAAATAACAATGACAACACAGATTAACTGATTAAGGTGACATCTCCTTTCATCCTTGATTTCGCACTCAGCCCTGTGATCTTGGGGTATATGTCAAGCTTTCGTGATTTCAAAATGCATTTTAATCTGGAAAACCTAAAGAGGAGACCAGATCTGAATTCCTTTTCTCTTAAATAGAATCCTGAAGAAAGCCCTGGAATGTAAGCTTTGATATTACTGCTTCCAGCATCCCTTTTCCTCTGCCTTGCGTTAAATTTGTTTATACATTTGTTGATATAATCTAACCTCAAATAATGTGCCAAAAGCTCAGGTAAGTTGGATAAAGTGAGCAAGCCATTTCTTACTGCAGTATTGCCTGTGAAACAAAAACCTGAAATGCAATTAAATTCAATATCTTGCCTAGCAGGTGATAAAGCCCTTGGACAAGTGTTTTTCTCCAGAGGCAAGACTGCAAGGAATGATCATGCCAAAAGAAGAGCTGCATGTTTTGTCTTCAGCTCTGTTTTCTCTACTTTAATTTTGCTTTTTCTTCAAAATACCAACAACTGACCTGAATTTCTGAAATCTGTAGAAAAATCTCAATTTCTTCTCTTAGCAGGGGCAGCATTTACCATGTTCATAATCACAGCAAAGACATCCATTCTTTTCTATTTGCTTTACATTATACCAAAACTTACAACCTAGAAGTAAGAAAAAATAAATATATTATTATTATAAATTCTTATTAAAATATCTCAGCTACTGTCTGCTCCCCCAAATTTTTTAAAATAGCTAACAGATCTTTCCATTTCTTATCTATGACAAAACATATATTGATGTTATAAAAATTCCTTTTTTTATTAAATATATTTTACTTATGGATATAATGCATTAACCTACATAACTACAGAACCTCCTTTTCTCCACTATTTTAGACATGACAGACCAGAGAGTTTTTAAGTTACTTGACAATTCTATCCATTGCTTTGTGCTATACCACAAATCTTCCTTATTCTCCACCGGTCGTGATCAAACAAAACCAACACAGACAATTTTTGGTGGAAGAAAAACGTTCAGAAGTTGAATTAGAGACATTTAAATGGAACAGTTTTGGTGTTTTGGTTTTTTCTTCAGAATAAATGCATTTATAATAAACTGAACTCTGCTGCAGCAAAATGATTTAAAAAAATATTCCCAGTTATCATATAATTATCCTGAAAAGTTTGATAGTTTGAATCATGGTGTGATGCTGCCTGAAAGACGATGATTTAAAAGATGTAAAATGGTCCTTTTAAAGAAATTGGAAAATGCAGACTCTTATGAAGAGAATGAATATTTTGTTTATTAAGATATTTGTTCCCCAAGAGTAAAGTTGAAATAAAATCAACAAAGGAGCAGAAAATGACATTTTTCTTCTACTGATGTTTTGTTTCTTTTGGCCTAGTGAAACAGAAAATTTTACAGATCCTGTGTAATCCTCATTGTCTTCTAAATATCTTGTATTTGTTCAGATTTCCTAAACATTCAGAAAGGAGGGCAGGGAGCACAGACATCTAAAAAAAATATGCCAAAGGCCTGGATCCCAATTTAATCCTCAGGGCTCTTCACAAGGACCCAATCCACTTCAAAGTCCATACTTTTGAAATGTTGAACCCCATGCTTAAGCAAGAAAATTATTGCTGTTTTAAGAAAATACCAGTGGGAATTTTCTTGGGACAAATCTGCTTTTCCAGTCTGTCATTTTTAAGAAACATGATAAATTAGTGTCCTTGTTTTTCACAGAATTGGATTGGAATGATGATAATACAGAAGAACTTAGTTGGTTCTGAGTTATTTATGATATATTCTGCTGTCACTATTACCAAGCTTTAATTTGATAAACATAAAGTAGCTGTTAATCCCTAGCTATTTCCTCCTCTTTGTCAGTACAATTCTTGTGGAATTGACTTGGTGAACTTTTCCAAGCCATTAATAATACATCCAAAAGAGGTTATAAATTATTGTCACTATGAATTTGATTTTCTCATGGTAAATGTTAAATTTCATTTGAAGAGAAGTGGAATTCGTGATGAAAGGACTGAATTCCCTGTCACCAAGACTCCTGTTGTTTTCATCTACTTCATTTATTATTCAAAGTGTTTGACCTTAAAGAAAGGACTGAGAATGCATTAGGTTCATATCAGTATTGAGAGGATTTCAGACATATACTGGCATAAATCCCTTTCTGGGAAGGAAGAAATGAATGAAGGAAAGATTCGATCGTAAGGACTGGAATGGTGATTTCAGCTGAGAGTCAGCTGTGAATGACTAATTCCAGGATCAACCCAGAAATAAAAACTGGAGATTTAGCAGAGGGAGAATAGACCCCACAGTGACAGGAGCAAGGATTCACTGCTCCACACTTCCAGTGTAATCAGGGATTCTTACATGGCTGGAAAAAATAGCAGCCAGGAGAGGATGAAGAAAATTCACCGTTAACTGAAGATGGGCCAGAAAAGAACGCAAAACCTCTAATTACTGAGAGCAGAAAATATTAATAGCATGAATGGAGAGAGGATCATATAAAAAACTGAGATGAAAAGGAAAATGTCAGTATAAGGCAGATTATAATTTTAAAAATATAATTCATTGTGAAATAAAAACGAATGCTGGAGTTTACTCTCTGTTGATGATTTGCTGGTTCTGTGGCACACAGAAATGTGGGTTTTTTTCTGGTAAGATCAATAATTTAATACAGGTAACAACTGAACAGACACAAAGAAATGAAATAGGGCAAAACAACAGAGATGGCAACAGGATTTCACATCCTGAGTCCCTCTTTAAATGGCTGAAATATATATCTGCATCTACAGGTGGGGAATTGAATGAAGTTCTCCCAGCTAAAAGCATCTGATGGGTCCTATTTCTTTACTGATTCCCCAGCTCAGCAGCCTAGAAAAATTTGGGGTTTTGTTCCAAAAAATAAAAAGGGGAAAATGAAAAAGTCAATTGATAGATGAGTTCTTAACAATTTGCTTTGCTCACCAGAGAAAATCTGGGGGAGATTCATCAGTCTAATTCCAGGAATAATATAATTGGTTGTTACCACTCTGTGGTTTGTTTATATTTATGTGTGTGCAAAGATGGGTCCAATCAGCTGCAATAATTATCAAAAATGGCTTTCAAGGTGTTGCTTTGTAGAGATTCTGGGTTCAACAATTCAGGCATTTTCTGAAATCACTTCTATGGGTTGCTGCCAGTCATTCATTTTTACCCTGAAGACCCATCCCTCATTACTTGTTAGTTAAATATTAAAAAAACAAACAAACAAAAAAACCCCAAAAAACAAAACAAAACATAAGAAACAAAACAAAACAAAAGAAACAAAACCAAAAAACCACCCAAAAACCCACCACCACCACAAGCAACAAAAAACCTCTGAAACAACACCACCACCAAGAAAGAAACAAACCAGAGAAACAGAAAAGAAGTAATCTAGAATAAAAACAACATTTGGGATAAGCAAGGAGTTTTAACATGAATTAATTTGGTACCTTGGTTTAGAGTGGTTTCTCAAAATTGCAACAACACATTGAGGCAGCAAACAGTGACCTGAGAAGATCAGACTTAAGTTTGCTTTACTGCTGCAGATTTTATCAAATTGCTTTTCCAGAAGAAAGGTTTGTATTCACATCCTTCAAAACAGCTGCCATGTTGGGGAGAGTAAATGATTTTTCTGTAAATCATGGGATGTTATTTTCTGCCAGAATAGGAAAATAATTTGATCCCCTCGAGTCATGACCATTTTTTGTTAAGAGGTGGTAGAAAAATCCCTCCAAGATACCCACTAAAAAGGCATCAATTTTGAATCACTAAAAATTAAGCAGACTTCAAACTGACAAGTTGTTTCCTCAGTCTAAGAGTGAGCTCAGACTTGGAAGGACCTAAACCATAGGAAACCAGTAAGATTCCTGAAAATGTTGTAAAGGAGCCTTAATGTCAGTGTTGTGAACGTGTCATTGCAACACCTTGCAGTGGTCTGGAAGGGTTTTATTCTCCCCAGAATCACTGATCTGGGTTTTCCTTTCTCAGCAGCACAGCCCATTATTGGACCATAATGTGGAACATGCCAGGATTATGCTGCTCTCATGGGGTGACTTTACCTGTAAGATAGCTTTGGGAGCTAAGGAAGTAAAGCTGCTGGTGACTGATGGGAGTCTTTTCTCCTGATCAATTATCAGTCACTTCTAAGAATTGACAGCAGTTTTAGCCATTAAAAAGTGAAGTCAACTTGTAAACACCTCCTTAGGATGTAAAGTCAGAGCACTTTTGTCATCTTTGTTTCCTGGCAGTGAATGGTAACTGAGCTTTAGCTGGATTCCCGTTCCCTGCCCCGGCCCTGCGGCTGGGCGGGGGCTGGGCTGGGCCTGCCACAGCTCCCGGCCGGGAGATGGGGCCTGCGGGGCTTGCCCCGGGCTCTGGCCGGGCCAGGCCGCTCCCTGGCTCGGCTGCAGCTTTTTTTTGCTGTGACTGAATTCACCAGAGACTGCCGAGTAAAGAAAGAAAAAGCTCTTGACCTGCGGCAGGCTGAGACAGGGACCACACTCTCCAGAGCAGCCATGAAGAATTTTCCATCGCAGACAGCTCCAGCTGCTGCTCCGGCAGAGATCACAGAACCATCTACAAAAGCCTGGGCAAGATTTTAACCCTTTCATTACCCAGATGAGACTTGCAGATTAATCCTTTTATCCAGAGAGAGAAAAAGAGAGTAATCAACATGTAAAGAGACTTTATAAACTATCAGAGACAGTAAAGAAAAGAAGCTTCAGAAAAGGCAGAGAATAAGGAGATGCTTTATAAGCTGAAATATTTTTCTGTTAAAGCTATAGAGATAGACAATAAGGTCTTGAAAAAACTCCTTTAATTCATGACAGAGTATATAGGGAGGAATAGAGTGTTCAAAGTGTAGATTTTGAGTAAACAGTAGAGTAATTGTGATACAGTGAAGTGCTGGAACAGAGTGTAGCGAAAATTTGAAGTCTTGGGGGGCAATGAGAAAACTGTTTTTCAGTGGAGCTCACAAAGACAGATGAAGACTTTTGCGTTTGAATAACTCATCCTTAAAATGACATCCCTAGACTCATGGCCCATACACACCTCAGAGTGATGTGAAATGGGAGGAGTGAATTTTGATGACCAGATTTCCGGGCAACTGGCATCAGAAAAATAGAAAGCTATAACAGAAATAGTTTTTCTTGTGGAAAAACTCCATAGATTAGCAGAAAGAGACTCCTGATTCTCTACAAAGACTGATGAAAAGACTGTAACAATAACTGGGACTGTTTTAACCACGAAAGTTCCAAAGTTTTTTGTCTCTGTTGTCATGTGAACAAGAGAATGGTGGGTAGTAAGAGATAAAAAGGGTTTTCTGGAAGTTTAGTCTGGTGTTCTTATTCTTGTAGTTTGTTAATAAACTTTCTTTATTCCTTTTAAGTTTTAAGCCTGTTTTGTTCTAATCCATATCTCATAGCAAGAAAGAAGTAATTTTTTTAGTTACTGGTTTAAAACCACGACAGACGGTTATCTTCCATCAAGCCCCTTCCCAAGTTTAAAAAGCAAAGGCTCATCCATTAAACTTCACCCATACCCTCACTTCTCCCCCAAAAACATACACTCAACTGGCTACCGTTAAGGTGCCAGAGTAAAATGGATTTTAATAAAATACAAATTCTCTTTCTTTTCCTTATTGCTGTTGCTTTGCCTTTTATTAATTTATCTACTTGTCTGTCTTGCAATCAAATCCCAGAATACAAACCAGCACCACTGAGAATCAGGGAACTAACCCTGACCACAATAATCACAAGTGGTGAATATTTTGCTGTAACACCAGTTATCTAAGTGGTTTGTGGTAGAAAGAGAGAAGGTGTAGGGAACAAACAAGGGGTGCAGCCAGAGATCAAAAGAAATACTGCTCCCTAAGTGGAATATTAACATTTCCCCCTGGAAGAGATGACAGGAAGATGAGTAAAGCACATTAAGCACAATCACGGCAGTTTACGGTTGGAATATTTACAAGCTTTTTGGCTGATCTTTAATATTTCAGAATTGAAGAAAAACCCTGACTGAATCTTTCCTCTTTGGCCTTGCCTATACCTAGTGGTGCTGTGTTCAGCATGCTTTGAGTGAAAAATATTCCATCTGGATCCAGCCCAACTGTATGTCACCCATTAGAAGGGTGCACAATGAAGAAAAGCAATACAAAGCCATGGCAGCCTATAGAAATCAGCTCTGGCTTGAGCACTCAAAGTTTTTATTCATAACACACACCATATGAACGACAGAAGAAAGAAGTATTTGATTATTTCTGCCCTGAACACACACCTTGAGACAGCAATGCAAAGCACACGTGTAGCCTTACACAATTTCTGTTCCAACACCAAGTGCCTCCTTTTCGTTTTGCTGTTTTGCTAGGCCATGCCTCAGTTTCTCCTGCCCATTTCCAGCCTTGTGCCATCAGCTGTTTAGGGCTTCATATTCCATCTCAGCCCTCCACCTTGCCACCTCCATGTTTATTACATTACAAACATTGTACTCCCACTCTCCACGTCATTTTTCTGGTTATTGACACCAGCTCTGGATGGCGGCAACCCAGACACAATGTGGACATGATTTTCTGAACCTGAGAGAGTTTCAGGCGCTCAGTGGTTGATCTGCTACCCAAGGGAAAGTCTTTTGTGAAACTTTCCTCTCTCAAGGACAGTTGTGTAAATAAGATTTTGGTTCTCAAAACAATGACAAAGATGTTCTGAGAGTGTTTTTCTCTTGTTCCAGCAATGGGAGGAGAGAGGTGTTCTTCCTTGTACCAGTCAGGTTAACCTGTACCAGAACACCTTATAAAAAGGAACACCTGAAATAAAGGCTTTTTTGCCTCCTGAAAATAAACCTCAGCTGCTTGCAATAAGAACCCTTGCTTCATACTTCATGTCCACTAGCGACAACAAACATGCTCAAGCTCTGCCTTTATCCCAAAATGAAGAGTCAGCCAACATGAAATACCCAAGGCCAGGCTGGATGAGGCTTGGAGCAATCTGGTCTAGCAGAAGGTGTCCCTGCCATTCCAGGGGTTGGAACGATATGATCTTCAAGGTGCCTTCCAACCCAGGTCATGCTATGAACAACTGTGAATACCTCCTTTGCTTGGCATCATGGTGGCCAGCCATTACTCTGAACTTCTTCACATTTAATACATGCTAAGCCCAAGGTACCTAAAGAGTCCAGTCAGTATGAGGTAGGTAAGGACTGTAGAAAAGTGGTGGGGAACTGAAGTCAGAGGGACAACCAAACACCATATGTGCAGGGGAGCCATACACCTTCTAAAGAGGACAACCAGTAAGACATGTGCTAAACCTCATCTGCAATGACATTTACACAAATTTTCCTATTTGTAAACAAATTAACATAGCCACAATATTTGATTGTACTTCTGTCTTCCATGACCAATGAGTCAGAATTGTTTACAGTTTTTAGGAACACAACCCTCCAGTCCATCAGCACTGCCTTCGCCCTGCGGAGGCAGGTGAAGCTTCGAAAAACATCAGGAAATAGGGACACACACCCCACTCCTAGGACTGCACTCTGAGCATTAGTACTCGTCATAGACAGCAAGAGAGCAGAGAATTACTCTGTCATAATTCTGAACTTAAAAATCGTGTTTGACAAGCAAACCTATTATGAGAACAGATGAAGCTACTGAGGTCCAAGTTGATCAAAGGATTATGAAAAATAATCCAGATTTACATCTGGATTTTTTTAAAAAAATACACCCCAAAACCCAAAAAAACCCACTTCAAAAGCAAGAAAAAGAACCAGTTCTTATTTTTGTGATAGCAAAGCACAGAAAAATCTGAGTCCTACCACAAAGATGCTGTTGTAGCTGCAGAGAACCTGGATGAGCAACTCCTATCACAGCAACTCCACAGCCCTCTGGAAAAAAGAGCTGTGGTCTTCCAATTCCCATGCCAGTGCACCATTCCTTACCCTATGCCATTTTTCTCTTATTCCAGCAATATATGGAAGCACATACATATTCTCCTCCTTATCACAGGCTTTGAAACTATTTTACCAGTGCATGCTTGTTCTCTTTTTCCCCCAATATTCCCTAAAACAAAGCAGAAAATAGAACAGAAACCAGGGAAACTGTCAAAGACAGATGCACACAGCCCTTCTATGTTTCCACATAAGTACAGACAACTGAAGGTCTAAGGCGCTGCCCCTGAGCCCACTGTAATTTCCATCAGTTTTAAACTTCCTCTTAGAGCACCTCAAATCTTTCCAACTACTCAACCTGGTGGCTAATGACCAGGTAGGGACAAGGAACTGGAGACTGGAGACAGCTTCCAAACCCTACCACCAAGAGGCATAGTCTGCCTTAAGGGCCAAAGTCACTCCCATCTTCTGCTTTCCATCACTCCTTTGACATTTAAATCAAAGCCCAAAACCAGTCCTGCAGTCTGATGATACAGGAAGGTCCCTGTACTCCTGCAATGCTGTGGTTTTTCTCCCTCAACATCAGTCAGCATTCCCACAGTCAGCAGCACCTCAGCTTAGTCTGCACTTGGAAAAACCTTATGGATATGGATTCTAGCTCACAGAGTTAGATTTCACAGGCCCTGAAGCAGCAGGCTGAAGCTCACATGCTACTTTCAGTTTTATACCCAGTCACACTCAGTATTTTGAAACCAATAAAACCATTTCAACACAAACATTCAGCCACGTTCATGATGGCAGCAGGGGAGATGGCAGCAGGTAAGGAATGGAAAATTATAGACAGGGAAAAGAAGAATGGGAAATCAAACACTTAAAAAAGCAGAGAAGTCACCAATTTACCGATGAAAAGAATCAATCAGCAAACCGGACAGTGCCATTCACCGTACCAACCATGAAACAGAAATCTAGAAGTCTTCAGGGCCACCTCCACTCTTAATTTGCAATTTTTATTCCTGAGGATATTCAGTCACAACCAAGATCAAAAGCAGAGCTGACCCCACACACTAGGAAAGCTCACAGATTTTGGGGAATAATTTCCTTATCCTTATGGCATGGCTAATTCACCTGGGATCTTCCCTCCCACCTCTGCCTCCGGGCAGGACTGCATCAAAA